CAATCACGTCAAAAGATTAATCCATATAAATAATTTATGAACAATAACTTTAAGTATTGTAATTGTACTAGTTTCTTATAATAAACTTTTTTTTTTTTTTTATTTATTCGATAATTTATTTACAATCTATACAACAAGTACATGAAGCAAATTTGATCAATTTGAATAAAGTATATTACATTAGATTTAATTTAAGATATATATAAAAGTGTTAGTATTTCCGGAACACTTTCAAAAGTTAAGCTGAAAATATTATTTTTTTGTGAAAAAGATGTCAAAAGTTCCTGTGGGCAGGTAAAAGGTCAGATTTATAAAAAAAAAAACATACAAAATGATAGGTAATTATCTCATGTATTTATAAAAGTTATGTTAGTTTTAAGTAAAATGAAATAGAAAAAATTTCTAAAATTAATGATTTTTAAATTTGTAATCTTTTTGGAGATTTCACTCTTTTACGGGGAACGACAGAAATTTTTTTAATTTTGAGGATAATGTCTTCGACTAGATACGATTTGTGATCTTTTGACGTATTGTTAAAAGAAATCGGTTCGGTGAAAGCTGAGAAAAAGTGATATACACAAACAATAAAAATATATCGTAGTAAAATTAATACCTTCTCAGCTTGCATCGAAGCTAAAAAAGAATCTTACAATACAATATATGAGTATTTAAATTTTTTTGGAATCTAACATAATTCTTTGCGGCATAGTAATGTATTTTATTTAAGAATTAAAATGTAAAATAATTTTTAGATTTGATATGATGATTTAAAAAAGTATTTCTATAATTATTTGAAATAATATTATACCAAAGTATGAAATCAATAATAATTTGCATGACTCAATTGAAGATAATTCATGTTTACGTACAGTTTTGCGTGTTTGCAAAGCTGTGAAAAGTAATTTTAATAAGTTATTTTCAAATTCTTAATATGCACCATAAAACTAAAATATTAGAACGATTTTCTTAATGTCTACGAGAAAAATAATATTTTTTGGTTTATGACGAAAATAACTTTATATTTGATTATACTGTAGTAAGAAGTAGAATAGTGTGGTCGAGTTGGTCATGCAACAGTGCCTGATGTGTACTGTTTCAAAAAAAAATTATGCAGTAAAACTAACTTAAAAAAAAATAAATTTATTTTGAATATTGTTTTTTACACTCAATAAATAAAAACATGAAATGGGTCAGATTTCAGTCCTACTACATGTACGTGGTAGTTTGACTGACTAACACCGTGTGATATAAGCTGCGGTATAAAGTCTGACAAATAAGGCGCAGACGACAACGACCCGTTGCAAATGGACAAACAACTCAACACCTGTTCTGAAGACAACCAGATTTGTGTCGCTTACCGTTATTATGTTTTTGACACATCTCTACACCCTAATCACTCTTGATAAAATGTAAAAAAAAAAAAAGATATTTCTGAATTAGTATTATTTATCCGCATAATTGGAAAAAAAAAATTATCATGCTATAGACAAAATATCGAAGTATTAGACAGAACCGGGCAGCTGACGATTGAAGAAATATAATCTTCTTGGATATAAAAGATATTATGAAAAAAATAAACCTAATAATCAACTAAAAGANATGAAAAAAATAAACCTAATAATCAACTAAAAGAATTCATAATGGGTTTTCAAGAATATTCATTTTTTTAATATTTTTACTATCTAATTTTTTTTTTTTAACTATATAATACAATAAATTTTTTACGAATTACCTACATTAAACGATAGATATGTGACAAGTTGGAACAAATATAGATGATGCCTGACAGTCATTAAAATCATTATCATAAGAAACACAATTATACGATATTTACACTATGCAATATTTTGCACGTTAATACTATTCGATTATATGTCGGTAAATTGATATTATTTTTGTTGTCACTTAGATACTAAATATTCACAGTCTTATGTCATGTATTTTATGGCGGTTTTTATATGGTTTTATTCCTTTTGGTCACAAACACTCCCTCACCTTATCTTTTTGCTAGTTGCATGAGGCCCAGCCTCATTGGGGCAAAGCCGGTGTGAAATTTTTTATCTGCACTGGATATATGATGTGCATGGTAATACAACTAATCACCGTCCACACCATTGCGGTGTTTTTTACGGGGCGATTGTTACCAGCGTCGTTTTTACCGAAAAATGACTCGAAATTTTGAGAGGGTTATCCTCCTCCCCAGAAATTTTAATTTCCCCACCGAAGATACCGGAATTTTCGGTTATCACACTGGATTTATGGTCATTCTTCGGCCTTTTCAGGGAAAATTGTTGTTTTTCGGTAACGATTCAGTGTAATCCCTTTTCTGTCCGGCTATTTCTACTTTTTTCGGGTTTTTACCCGTAGAAATAATGTCCAGCAGCCAATCGCCGGGGGCTTTAGCTTCTCGCCCAAAGGCCCGTTCAGAGGGAGTACTCCCTGTTAGTTTGTTCCGACAATTTCTTATTGAAAAATTATAGTCGGAATACAGCTGTCCCAGTGACTATGTGGTTTGTCAACCAAAGCTGTCCGAAGACTTTTTTTCAAATCTTGGTTTCAGCGTTCTACTGGATTTGCTCTTGGATGGTAAATTGGCGTTGTCCATCCTTCTGTGCCACACTTCTCCAGTGCTTTCTCCATTGTTTTGGAGACGAACTGTGTTCCATTGTCTGAGAGAAGTTCTCTAGCATAGCCGAAACGTGAGAAGAACTCTCTTTCTAAAGTATCGGTATTCGTCTTAGCGGTGGCTTGCCCTAGGGAGTATGCTTCCACCCATTTACTGTAGCAGTCTGTTGCTACAAGTAGGCTAGTCTTACCACTTTGATATCTTGGGTATGGCCCCATTAGATCAATACTAACAATCTCCCATGACTGACGGGGCTGTCTTGGTCGCAATGGGTCATCTTGATTCCGTTTTAGTGGTTTAACGCAAGCACAAACGTAACACCTTACGACATATTGACATACCGACTCTCTCATACTGGTCGAAAAGGAACGATTACCAATGCTCCGGTAAGTTTCTTTCCACCCTGGATGTCCTACGGAACGACGATAATCTTTCCTTACGTCCCGTTATTTACCGTGCCTTTTACCAAATACCATCTTGCAAGTATTATTCCTGGTGTAAGCGCCGGTAAATTGAATTGTCACTCCGCAGTTTCCGGACATACTGGACCAAAGTTGCATCTTCGGCTTGCCAGGTTCTAATGTCAGTAATATCTGTATTCTCCGGGTAAGTTTTTTCACTTTTACCGTTCTTGGCTGGGCTAAAAGAGTCACTATTACTTTGCAGATATGTTTTTTCTGACTTTTACTCGAGTAATTCGTCTAAGCTTGGGTCCTGGTCGGACGCTGAACGATTAACCTGTTTGTCAGTTAACAGCTTCTTCCGATAAATAAGTTTGCGGCTCGGGCCGTAGATCATAAAGTGAATCTGTGTCAATTTCTTTGGGTTCCGGGTCTTCCAGAGATTTGTTCGGCAAACTGTTTTCGGACAGAGTTGCTTGTGTTCCTTGGTTAGGATGATTTGTACTACTCTTCAGTATTTCCGAAATTTCTCTATCTACTGTACATTTCTTCCATGGACACTCCGTTTCTTCGGATTTGATAGCGGCGAGCTGCATATTTTTGCGCTTTTCCGGGGCCATTTTGGTTCCTGGTCGGAAACTTTGGTACCGGGCTTGCGCTCATGGTACTTCGGGCGGACTAGTTTTTCTTGTCCGGTCGGATTCACATGAACTGTCCAGAACTCTTCCCGTTTCCCGTCCTCACCATAATTCTTTCCGGGCTATTCGCCCCATTCCGATTGTAGTTTATGCAACGTGCCCTCCGGATGGGCTTTTTTCCGGTCTAATAACCTCTTTCTCCGGTGGCGGTTTCTTATTTTCCCATTTGAAGCTATTCCCTTCCGCGGAATACTTCTTTTCTTCGGGCCGCCGTTCCGGAAGAAAGTCTTCTACGTCCAAGTCGCTAGCCAGCTCTAGCAGATCTTCCATTGGCCTAATGAGCAGTCACTGCGCATGAGGTCATATGATTAGGTCGTCCAACTCGTACTCTATCAACTTGAGTTGAGACGACGGCTAGCTGGCTCTTCCACATTACAAACTCCTCTAGGGATTGTCGTTCACCTTGGTAAGCACTGTGGAGATCATTGCGTACTTTGGTAAGTATAGAAATGCTATTGAACCTCCTCAAAAATTGTTGCTGGAACACTGACCATGTGAGGTTCAAGTAGCGTATGGTAACCCACCAGTTACCTGCCTCTGCTTTTAAATGTGGGGACAGTACACGTACCCACTTCTGGTGCGGTACATTCGCTTCAATTAGAAACGATTCAGCCTCTTCAATGAAAGCGTTGGGGTCCTATTGTTTCTTTCCGGTAAACTCTGGCAGAGAATCACGTGCCAACGTTACACTATAGTGGGACAGTAACAACGTTTCGGTCGAAACTTTCCGGGACGGCCATCTGCTCACATCCTTCCGACCAGATTTCTGATGTGTCGGTTCTGTCCGCCATAACTCGCTAAGTGTGTGTAGTAGCGGTATGCTTATCCTGTTGGTACTTCCAGGGACCCCCTCCACATAATCGGTAAGTAGGTTGACTTGCGACGTCAAAGTGTCCACCTTTGTTTCCAGCAAGCCAATATGGTCGCGATGGAGTGACACCGTGTTCTCTATTTCCTCAATTTTGGTCATATACTCGTCAAGGTACAAACATAAGGTAGTGTACATGTCCTGTTAGAAATTCCACTCGTCATTATCAAATGCATTGTCCGATCTGCCATTGTCAGCTCCACAAGTCTGACTTGTACTCCCTTTAGGAACATCCTCGCTCTGAGGGAGAGGATTCTTGGGTTGAATGGGGTAAAATTTGATACTTCCCACATTAACACCCTCCTCCAGAAGATAGTCCTCCAGCCTGATCATAAGATCGGCTTTCGATCCCCCAGTTGCGGGGACTCGCTAACTCCCCTTGTAATTCCTTAATCGATAATTTGAGTATGGATTTACCTAACATACTGGTTGATAAAGTCACAAGTATATAAATAAATAACAAGTAGGTCAGTGGGATGATAATGCGCTGATTTTTGCCTAATTTTTTTTTTTAGTACAAACCACGTTAGAGAAAATTCCCGTATAATAAGCCTATGACTATTGCTTATATATACCTTAACCCCAAAAATTAATAATCTTATAATTATTTAAGTCATAAAAATTTCTTATTCTAGAACTTACTACACTTTTAGTCATTTAAAGCTTTAGGTTCTCTATTTTGCAAGCATATCACTAAGGGTACTAAAAATAATAATTGCTGTAATTATTTAGCACTTAGCTTAATTACTTCTTAGTCTGAAAAAAATTCCTTATTCGAATGCGCCAATAATGTAATCAAGGTATATTTGTGACAAAATAAATAGTAAAAAAGTGTTTAAATATTAATCTCAATATATTTTAAACCAATACACGTAAGGAAGCACATAAAAAGTGTCACGATAGATTTCCGTGAAGTAGTTGAAAAAGTAATATGTATATATTTTTGGTGCAATGCCAAACCGGTTCGCGTTACCCACGGTCACTCAGCGTCGCGTGACCTGTCGGACGAGAAGAGGCAGGTGTGTCGCAGTCGCCATCCAGCGATAAGTCTAAAGTGAACTACGACTACTTCAGAGTACTTTTTGGTTTCTAAATACAAAAGTGCTTCAATTATATTTTACTATTCAAAATATATATATAATTTTTTAGATAGCAATATATTCATTTATTATAACTACAACTAGTCGAATAATAGAGACTTGACTAAACCTAATACCTTAAGCTTTATGTAAAGTCACAATTTTTCGATGCCCTTAAAAATAAAAATTGTATTTGTATGTCTCTTTCTTAATTAGATATTAAATTTTATTACAGCAAAACTTAATTAATATTTTTCTCATTTAGCAATTCAATATGATAATTCAAATGATGAACAAAAATTGCAATTAAAAGAAGACACGACAAGAATAACTGCAGAAAACGGAAATTTGGAATTGTTAAAATATGCATTTCAAAAAAGATGTAAATGGGATGAAAAAACAACAGAAGCTGCTGCAAATAATGGTCATTTAAAATGTTTAAAATATGCTTATGAAAATGGTTATGAATTGAATCAATTCAAAATTGCGAAAAGTGCGATTAGAAATGGTAATCTAAAAATATTAAAATATATTCACAAAAATGGATATGATTTCAATCAATTCATAACTAACGTTGCTGCTGCTGGTAATCTAGAAATTTTAAAATATGTCCTTAAACATGGTTGTCCTTGCAATAAAGTTACAACTTATACAGCTGTTTTTAATAGAAATCTGGAAAATTTTAAATATTTACACGAATAAGGATGCCCATTGGATGATAGAAGTACTAATGAGGCCGCCATTCAGGGTAATTTAAATATTTTAAAATATGCAAATAAAAATGGTTGCAAATGCCATAAACATACAACTACAGAGGCAGCCAAAAGAGGTGATTTAAAAATATTAAAATATGCACATGAAAATCAATGTCCGTGGGATGAAAGCACAACAGAAGCCTCTGCTTCTATTGGCAATTTAGAATGTTTAAAATATACAATTGAAAATGGTTGCAAATGCCATAAACATACAACTACAGAGGCAGCCAAAAGAGGTGATTTAAAAATATTAAAATATGCACATGAAAATCAATGTCCGTGGGATGAAAGCACAACAGAAGCCTCTGCTTCTATTGGCAATTTAGAATGTTTAAAATATACAATTGAAAATGGTTGCAAATGCCATAAACATACAACTACAGAGGCAGCCAAAAGAGGTGATTTAAAAATATTAAAATATGCACATGAAAATCAATGTCCGTGGGATGAAAGCACAACAGAAGCCTCTGCTTCTATTGGCAATTTAGAATGTTTAAAATATACAATTGAAAATGGTTGCAAATGCCATAAACATACAACTACAGAGGCAGCCAAAAGAGGTGATTTAAAAATATTAAAATATGCACATGAAAATCAATGTCCGTGGGATGAAAGCACAACAGAAGCCTCTGCTTCTATTGGCAATTTAGAATGTTTAAAATATACAATTGAAAATGGTTGCAAATGCCATAAACATACAACTACAGAGGCAGCCAAAAGAGGTGATTTAAAAATATTAAAATATGCACATGAAAATCAATGTCCGTGGGATGAAAGCACAACAGAAGCCTCTGCTTCTATTGGCAATTTAGAATGTTTAAAATATACAATTGAAAATGGTTGCAAATGCCATAAACATACAACTACAGAGGCAGCCAAAAGAGGTGATTTAAAAATATTAAAATATGCACATGAAAATCAATGTCCGTGGGATGAAAGCACAACAGAAGCCTCTGCTTCTATTGGCAATTTAGAATGTTTAAAATATACAATTGAAAATGGTTGCAAATGCCATAAACATACAACTACAGAGGCAGCCAAAAGAGGTGATTTAAAAATATTAAAATATGCACATGAAAATCAATGTCCGTGGGATGAAAGCACAACAGAAGCAGCTGCTTTTAGCGGTAAATGTACTAGTTTCAAATAATAAACTTATAATCTAAAATAAAAAACAAATTGTTGTTATTTGTATATAATATATTTATTTCATAATAATAATTACAAGGTTAAAAATAAATGTTTACATAAACGTGTAAAAAATTTAATTTAAATTATACGGATTGTTCTGTCAAAATGTGTATATGTAAATACATTGTCTGAAATTACTAGAGTATATGCAGTTGTATTACCAGGGAACGCGGCTGATGCTACAATTTCAATTCATAGGTCAAAAGACGAGACTGTAATTGTATCGTTCTGCTTTGACATGTCGATTACGGCAATAGGTATTAAATTAAGAAATTGTTTTTTATTTACTAAAGGCGAACACCAAAGTCTATCACGATAACTCTTTTGAAAATTAACATAGTAGGAAAATAAAATACTAAATAGTTTACAGTCAAAGTTACACCTTAAATCGATGTACGGGTAAACTTCTGAATTTAAATGGACTTTAAGATTTGTTAAATAACAGTGATCGAATTCAGACATTGATTTACTTTCACTATTTTTACGGTCTCTTTAAAATCCTACTCAAACATAACGGGGCTTTTGAAAGTTATTACATGTTTCAACGGTCCACGAAAACGATTTGTTTTGTGGTACAAACGGATATTCACACAGTTCCCAATTTCTATGGGCGCAATGTATAGG